ACACTACTTTAGGCAGGCATCTAATTGTAAGTCTTTATATTTCACTTCAGGCATATATGACCTAAATTACAGCTTTGTTACATGTATTATTTCTGTTATATTTTCTAATATGAGCAAGCAAAATACTTAAGAAAGTAATTTCAGACACTTCAGCATAAGTATGATTTCTAATGCACCAGTATATGTACTATTGTAGTTACATTAGTAAGTTACTTAGTCTATGGTTGTTTTATTTAGGTTTTGTGCAGTAAAACTTCCAAGAAAAGAAAGACTAGTATTGTAATAAATATTCATAGCTGATGAGATATTGACTGTTTCTTTGTTCTGACTTAATACAGTAGAATGCTGGCCTATGATTGGGGATCCCAAGAAGTAGGATAGTCTGTACGATGTCCATGTTGAATAGTTAGTGTGAAAGTCTAAATGCTATGTGAACTACATAGAAAAGTAAAAGAAGAAACTTTATTCTTTCTTTTATTTCTTTCAGGCTGTTTTCTAAATACCAATACTTTGATTCAAGAGGGATGTTTATTTCACTTGTATTTTCTGCACCACTGCTGGTGAATACTATTATAATTGTGGTATGTATGTGTTCATTTATATGGATGCTTTCATTAAATTGATAACTAAATATATATGGATTAGTTAAATTTAATAATTTCCTTACTTTTCAGGTCACCTGGGTTTACAGAACTTTGAATGTAATGACTGAACTGAAGATGTTACAGCAGAAAAAGAAAGCAGAAAAAGAGAAAAAAAAGTGAAAGCACCTAACACTTTGGGTTTTTTTAACTGTAATAATATGTGTCCAGGTAATCAGTCCTTCTGTGAGGACTGTTATCCAGAAACAGCAATGTGTTTGTGTCTGTTGTCAAGAGGACTATGCAACCTATGGCCATGGAGAATGATGTGAAAGCAGATGTGTACAATACACTTGAATTGGCCGTGAAATTGAGAAATCGGGTCTTAACAGGTCTTTCTGCCCTTCAATGTAAGACAGTTTTCTACCATGACCAAGTTTATTCTTATTGGTGAGACCCAGTCTTCCAGTCTGTTTCCATTTGCCTGTGTATTTTTAAACTATGTCTTAACTGTGTGTTTATCAAGTGATTAAGCCAATTGGAGCAGTGTTGTGAATTCTGGTAAATGAGGGATTGTGTTCAGAATACCTCAGGAATCTGTGCTTCTATGAAGCATTTAACTTCTTTATAAATCAAATTTCATACTTCCTATGAGTGTTGTGTGCCAGTAGCATTTTATAAATAAAATTATCCACTATACCTTAAATGGAGTTAATTTGTATTAATTTTTAATCAGATTTTTTCTTTTTTTCTCATAAAAATTTCCAGTTTGGTAAAATCTTGTACTTAATTTGTGTAAGTCGTTCAAAATGATCTCTGCATTTTTTTTTAATTTACATTTCATGATTTTAATGCTGCTGGATAAATATCTTTTCTTAAAACTGGATGAAATTTTGATAGTTTTTGCTTATTTGTTGAACAGAAAGGAAGGGGAGAAACTATCATGTTCTATGCTATTTTGTCCTTTTTTTTATGCTTTACTTTTTTTAATAAATAAATGACAATGAAAAACTAACTGATAAAAATGGGTAAGTCTTCAGTTTTGTTAAGAGTAACCTGTTTTTATTGGATTAAGGAAATTTGAGAGTGGGAACGAACACAGTGGAAGACTATCCATACATATTTAGGAAGAGTTGTATCTGGAAGCAGTTGAACCTTTGTGTGGAGACCTAAGCTTCTGTCTAAAATAGATGTGATTTAAGACATAGGGAAGATAATCTATAAAATTGAACTTAGACTAATGTGAAGAACAGTTGGGTACAAAAATGCAGAACACTAGTAAGTTTTTAAGCCAAGTAAGTATTCGTGAAATTAATTTTAAATACATGAATAGTCTTCACAACAGTGGAAATAATGGATCTGAGGGAGGTAAGCAGATGCATGTGCATACAGTTTGCAAGTCTTTTAGGGAGAGAGTGAAACTTTCTGGAGGGCTTCACACCATTGTGGAAGGGCAGCGCAGCATTAGTCTGAGATCCATTTCTTTGCCTTTCCCATGGATTAACTTAGCATGGCTCTCCTCACTCAAGGCTCTATCAAGAATTACAGACAGCCGGACTACTTTATATTAGCAAACTAAATAGATTCAGGCTTGCTATGTTGTCCCATGGTCGTCCATTCTGTTACAACTCTTGATGCAATGTTGAGTAGTGTCAACTGTCACTTCATGAAAACATCTCTAGTGGTCTGGCAGATGGGCTGTGCCTTTTGGGAACAATCCCTGTTTTGAAGGAGTGAACAGAATCTATCCACATGTCTGAAAGATAGGCTGTGGCACCTGTCTTCAGGACCAAGCAACAGGCCTCTGATTTTATGTAGATGTAGTCCTCCAAGGCTGGTTTAGAGAAGTTCAGCTTTGCTTTTATGGTTTGATAGGGAGAGGTAGGCAATTTTTCATACATGGTCCTAAGCACAACCACACAAGTGGTGTGCTCCTGACTTTCCTCCTCTGCAACTGTATTGATGCACAGTTGTTTTAATATCACACACTTAAAGCTGCAGTACCTCGTAATACTGAGCTACCACCTGTTACCAATAGCTGTTGGCTTCACAGCATGTGTGAATTTGTTTCACAGTAAATGAGGTGGTTAGAGCAGCTAAGCAGCAAGTCTCTTGCAATGGAGAACAATGTGCCTCATTTAGTACGTCCAAGGCAAACTTTCCCAAATAGTTCAGTATTTTGTCTTCCTTCTTGTCTTGTGAGGTTGGAAAAAAAAAGAAAATTCCTTCTTCTGTAAGTATGTGAAACTGGTGAGATACAGCAATTAGAACTGCCCTTTCTAGCATAACATAGACAAGATAAATTATTTTTTCTGTATTGCCCAATTTTTTGTTACTCTTGCTTGGCACAAGATCTATTAGAGAAATTCTCTCTTGTCTTTGGGGATCCCAAGTGGAAGAAAATCTTGTGATTGTCTCTCCTCTTCCTCTCAGTGTAGTTGACCTTTCAGTCAGTATTCCATTTTGTGTTGCATTACTGGAGTAATTTTGCCCTTTAATATAAGATCCCAGGGCATTACAGCCCTTTAACAAAGTTGAAGAACAAAGAACCCTAGAGTGCAAGTGGCAGGCACTTTATTTTTAATTATCAAGTAAATGTCCATTTGAGCTATATATTATCTGTTGATTTCTGGTACCACTGTCATTATGCACTAGCTGAGAGTCAGATAATACTTGGTTTAGAAAGTGTCACCATGATGGGGTCTTTTTTTTTGTCTTCTAAAATTATTGCTGAGCAAAAGTATAAACAGCTCCAAATTTCAAAATTATATCAATTTTTTTTTTATGGATGAATATCTCAAAATGTACATTTCAAAATTTTAAGCTTGGTGTTTTTAAACCTTCCCTGATTACTGAAACAATAGTGAGTATAACAGTTATGTAAGATAAATTTTCACAGATACATGGTTTCCGTATATATGTTTGTCAGAAAAAAATTCCATTTTCTGCACTTCAGAAAGACTCAAACTTTTAGCTGAGTTGTCCTCTAGCTAACCCTGTCTAAGAAACACTTAAGTTTAAGAGCTAAGTTTAAAAAAAAAAAAAAAAAAAAAAAAAAGTAGGTCTCTAACTGTAAGAGAAACCCCCAGAATTAAGTAAAGCGTGGCTTTTCTTCATTATGTGTCTGGATTTATGGAGTGATAGTGCAATAAAGGGCCTACTTGCTGACAAACCAAAATAATTGCATCATGAATTTAAAGACTGTTTTGCCTACTTAGAATTTTGTATGTATAAGTGAATGAGAGCCAAATGTCTAAGGCTAGTGGAATACCTTTGCTTTTAATTGGGAGACCTGAATTTAGGTTGTTTGCAAAAGCGCCTGTTTATTTCTGTTTGGAAGGTGCATATGGAAAAGCTGGTGGCTGCCCAGTTGGATCCTTTGGAAAGTAAGACGAGACAGAGGTGATTTATTACGGTTTCTGTGTATCTTGCAGGCATAACATATCTTTCCACAACAGCACATGGTGTCAGCCAGTGTGGAAAAACATTAAAAGGAAGAAAGTAATATTAACCTGGCAGCTTTACCATAGTAGAAATTAGTTTTGTTGCATATAAATCCGTGAAAAGATAGATTAGCAGAATTTAGTTGGCAAACTTCCTGGAGCTTGAAGTTGGCCTTGTTCCCTATGGAAAAGTAATAACTGAGATGAGATGAGGTTCCAAGAATGAGAACCTAGAATTCTGTCTTTTTCCACATCCACTGAAATGCTATATCCTTAGCTTGGAGTGTATTTTCACCTCTTTTTGATCCAATGAATCTCATTATTCTAGGCAAAATGGAACAAATCCAATAAGGGAATTTGAATGTCTGTTCCTCAGGGGTGTTTGCTAGCTTAGTAGTTAAGTGTCTTGGATATCCCCATCTCCCATAAAAAACACCTACCTGCCAAAGGCACGAAAGGGCAGTAAATTGAGGCCTCCTGCATCCGTGTGTGTATTCTCAAGAACTTTGAAAGACAGTCTTACTACTTTGCATCATCCGAGTCTTAAAAGAAGGGATCTACTCCCGAAAAAGCTGTTAGGTGGTGATCTGCTGTGGCTGTGAATCCTAAATGGAGGAAGAATCTATGGAGAATTACTTTGGATTTCGAGAATCGTAAGCTCAAATCTTTAACTCTGCTTTTTATAGGAACTGGGAATGTCCGAGAAAAAGAGGAGTAGTGATTCTTTGTATCAACAAGATAGAAAATGATGCAGCTGAAATGGAGGAAATGTTCTATTTCTTTAAATACAGCTAAATATTTTTGCTTACTTTTACTGTAAGTTTGATTAAAAATTAGAAGCCAAACATAATTTTTCACTGTAGATGAACACACCATTTTTGCAACTAGTATATCAAAGTATTTTTCTCTGTTTAGCAAACTCACATATTGTGCATATTTGTTTATTTAATTTTTTAAATATTTTAAAATACATTCTAAATATTTTAACGTGTTTCAACGAAGTACAAGTATTTGGTGTTTTTCTGTTCATCAGGGGAAGAGATCGTTACAATTAACGAATCTTGCCACTGGATGTCACCATCTCACATGCAAAAGCTGAATCAAAACTTTCCCTTTGAGCCAGTTCTGGGGAGCTTTTCACCATAGCTTCATGAATACTTTCTGCAGCATTTCGAAATAGTCAGGAAAGCTTGGACTGTGGCCTCTGAAAGCATAAATTATTATCTGAGCTTCAAGATGCATCTCCAGTCACTTTCAAATGTTTATTGACACTCTTGCTTAAAAGGTACTTCCTGTAGCAGCGATGATGTGCGTATATGCTTCCAGAGTCAGGACTGTGGGCATATTTTGTGTTTTAATGCAGCAAGAAAATAAATATCCTGTTCTTTCATACCCACATTTCATATGGAGGAGCCTGTCTTCAACCACTTGAAATGAAGTATAACAAAAAAAGAATAAAACCAGTACATTATTGCGTGAACAATATTCAGGAAAGCTTACTGAAGCAGCCTGGTTAATGAACTGACAGAGCTTATGCAGGAGTTCTGTTTCTCTGTAATTTTTATCCTATTTTACCCTGTTTTTATTTATCCTTTGAATTTATCTGAATTCTGTTTCCACACACAACCTCTTTAAGAATATAGACTTTCAGTTTGAATGGACTTGGGTCCCCTCACTGTGATTTACATGCATGAACATACATGTAATGACTCTGAAAAGATTAGGCGATTATAACCCAGC